AGATGTTTACTGGTTTGGTATGTAACTGATGCAGTGTGCTGATCCATTTCCATGTCCTGTGTAGAGAGATGTTTACTGGTTTGGTATGTAACTGAAGGAGTGTGCTGATCACTTTCCATGTCCTGTGTAGAGAGATGTTTACTGGTTTCATGGTATGTAACTGACGCAGTGTGCTGATCACTTTCCTTGTCCTGTGTAGAGAGATGTTTACTGGCTTGATATGTAACTGACACAGTGTGCTGATCCATTTCCATGTCCTGTGTAGAGAGATGTTTACTGGTTTGATATGTAACTGATGCAGTGTGCTGATCCCTTTCCAAGTCTGATGTAGAAAGTTCCTTGCTGGCATGAGTTGTAACAGGATTTAATGGACAAAAATCATTTTCAATTAGCTCTTCTTTATCAATATATCCCATCAAAGCTCTCTTGGTGTTTTCTAATAATAAGCAGTATTGTCTTAGGGCATTTAGGCAAGTTAGCACTTGATGTCGTTCTTCACAGTGAATGCATTGTGTAGTATAGAAGGCTACTCCAGGAGTGTTCATTGGTTCATTTTTCTTCTGCTTGTCTTGCATTCTATTAACTTCATTCAAAAAAGAAGATGGTATTTCAGTTGAGAAGTTCCTTGATTTTTCCTTCATTTCTGACTCTCCAGACGGAGGACGACAAGTGCGCTGGTCGGCGTGTAGTTCATTTTTGACCTCAGCTTTACTAATCCCAGCATCTGGGAGATTGACCAGAGAATCATCGTAATCAACCAATGTAAGTTTAGCAGAATGCTGATCAGTTATCGATTTACATGAATCATTGACATGATCAAAAGTTGTTGGGGTAGACGGCGAGGGAGGAGAACTAGAGCTGTCTGAATTAGAGGTTCTGGGTGACAGAAATGACATATTAAACAAGGCACTGTTCAAGGGCTCTGTGTCAGACTGCTGTAATAGTAATGGAGCACTGAGATCCTGGTGAGATTGGTAAACTTCTTCAACTGGACTAGAGGGTATACAAGTGACAGCATGAGATATCTCAACTGCCTGTATTTGATTTCCTTCCTGAATCTGATTATCCAGGATGTATCCTATATTATCATGAGCAATGTCATGCTTTTCCGGTATTGCAAATCCACATCCAGTGGTAATATTTTTATTTCCATCCACCGTGGTTAGTTCTGCAGGTTTACATTCAGATTTTTTCTTCAGTCTTAGAGATAATCTTTTCTTGACATTTTCATTTGAACATATTTCAAAGAACTTTCGTTTACCACCTCGAGAATTAACTTCAGCAGAACCAAGAGATTCACTTATATGGGAATGTTGGGTATGTTGGTCAAAAGGGATTCTAGCATGTTCAAGTTGATCAACGAGTCTTCGTCTGATAGGCAAGGTATCTTCTGTAGATACAGTTGCTTTCACGTCCTTTGAAGGTGATGTATGGACAGTAATATCAAGAACACCATAACGTTTACATTTTGGCGACTTTTTTGGAGGAGTTTGTTTCTTTATCATAGGTTTATATGACGCAGGCTCATTACTTGATTTCCTTTTGAGGGGAGGGGAGTTCAAATACAAAGTTTTCTGTTTTGACTTTTGAAGGGCAAACTTACGTCGATTAACTGCTGCCGTGAACAAATCTTGCAGCTTTTTCGAGAAAGCAACATCATCCACTACCACATTCAGATCAAGCAAGTTATTTGTCCTGTTTCTCTGCCGAGATAAGGGAGCCGAACTGCTTGTTAAACTTTTATCACCATATATTCTATCCTTTAGCTTTGAATTAGTCATAGAGGAATGATCATCTGCAAGTTCTGGTGACAAACTAGTGTTTTTAGTGACTTTCAGACAAGATGGTGTAGTATTTCTCAAGTTGTATCTGTGGTTCTGTTCCTTTCTAGATTTATTTTCTGTCAAAGACAACTTGTTGTCTTTAGAAATCCCTGAAGCATGGCTACATGTTAACGACAAATCCCTCTTTTCCATGGCTGCATTTTTTACCTTAGTGAGCTTTTTTCTCTTTTCATTTCCTAATTTCCTAATACTAGACTTGCTGTATTCTGCAAACACAAGAGATTTGAGTTCTTTATAGGATGTATGCGATGCTTTAGAGACATTAGATTCATTCATGTTGAGTTCTTCATCTTCTTTCCTTGTTTCATACTTGTGTGACTTGTTATTTTTACACATCTTTTTTTCTACAAGATCTTCTTCGGGATTCTCACTTTCAGAACTGCTAGTCTCACTCAATTGCAGAGAGAATGTCGAATAAGTCAATGGCTCATTGCTTGATTTACTATCATCCTTTACAGCCACTTTTTCCACATGTTTCCTTTTATTATTTGTGCATGTTTCCCTTGGAATCCTGATGGAGGACATTCCCAGCCTTCGGGTTGTCTTATTTCTGTTATTTCGTGTTGTCATAGCAGCGTTACTAGTGGGGAAGTTATCATCATCGTTGACTCCATCCAGTTGTGGTATCTCCCAGCTGTCCTCCAGCCCTTCCAAATCGAACTGAGAAATCCTGAAACAGGCAACAAATAAGAATTACCTGTTAGACAAAAACAATTAGATTACTTGTGTATTTGGTAAAATATTTATAAGGTCGGTTTAATCACCAACCATTAGTCAGTGAGTCCACTCACATACCTTACTTGAGAGCACATTAAAGCATCTTTATCTTGTCCTTTATCTTGTCCTTTATCTTGTCCAGTGTCTTGTCCAGTGTCTTGTCCAGTGTCTTGTCCAGTGTCTTGTCCAGTGTCTTGTCCAGTATCTTGTCCAGCATCTTGTTGTTGGAATGGATCTGTGTCATCCCACACCTGCTGTGACATCAATATAGATTCCTCTTCTTCATTTTCTGCTTCCTCGGCTTCCTCTTCCTCTTCAACATTTAAAAAATCTAAGTGGAAAGTTTACAGTTGAAACATATTACACATCTCTGTAATGGTGCAACCATAGCTGAATTCCAATCAGTAAGAGATATGGTTGCAATGTTGATCCAAAGAAACGCCTGTCTCTTTGTGGTTTTTATGACTGCTATTATATTAATTATTACAGGCATCCCAGCCACTTTTTAGACAAATTTGATAGGAAATATAGGCTGTGCAAGTTCTAAAWATAGGAAAATATAGGAATTTTTCCCAAAAATATATTGCACTTTATAGAGCTAAAATAGCTTTTCAGTGGCACAACCAGGGATCTTGCAGGGAGGGTGCACAGGCAATGATTTATTTGCAGAACCAAATAAGCCATAAAAAAGACAGAACCAAAAAAAAAAAACGCCCAATATGCTAAACAGTGTAAAATGTAAATGTATCACTCAGTAGTCGTCCTATTTATAGGAAATATAGGAGGTTTTCTTTAAATATAGGCTCTTTATAGGATCCTATACAAATTATAGGAAATATAGGATATATAGGAGGTCTGGGAACCTACCTCTATCAGGTATAGAAACGACTGGGCTCATACATGATAGACTTGTATGGCTTGCTACATCATCATCACTGGCTAAGCTGGCAAGCATCTTCACCATTTCCATGTCTGTAGAATTATCTACAGAAAAATATTAATAGTAATACAATCAAAACCTAACAGCCAACCTGTAACTACTACAATAAACACATACCCATGCGACTAAGATATGGACAACACCCATGACTATGATATAATATTTAATTATATAGATACCCAAGACTGTGCTATACCTAGATCTTGAGACATAGATGGTTGACTTGATTGGACTACTTCTTGTACAATGTTTTCATTTACTATTGGTTCGTTTACTGACTTTTCTGAAATCAATCAGGAATAGCTGAATTGGTACAGGTCAACACATGTCAAGCAGAAAGCATGTCTTACCATGGTAACGTGATGTCTATTGCATATCTTTGTTTCAACAAACATCAAGAACAACGCATGTCTTACCATGGTAACGGGATGTTTATTGTACAATTTATCTTTGTACAGATCAACACGGCCAAGCACAATGCATGTCTTACCATGATATGAAGGTGAGCTGTCATTATCCTGCACTGACAGCATTTCTTCCCCCTCCTGATGAACTGGGTGAGTTTGCCTTTGAAAAAAACATTAGCACAAGTCTTTAATATAATACATTTATCTTTCCTCTATGATCACATGAGATCAACACATACATTACAAGATCTCTTTCACCAATAATCTGCCTCAGCTTTTCTTTGTAATATGCTTCAGCTTCCAGTAATGGCAAGTCTCCACGATCTTTGAAGAGAAAGCATGACAAAGAAATGTTATGAACCACATTCAACATGCATCTTTTTTAATGCAGTTCTATAAAGCATACCTTGAGAAACAGGAGGAGTAAGAGGAATTTCATCATGTTCTATCTTTCTTCTTTCACGTTCCTCTTCCCAGATTGCAACGAGCCCTGGGCTTGTTCCAATACTTGCTACAAGATCAAATATAATATTCAAATTGATAATACTGAGGACTGAGGTTTTATTTACATACACCTATTTCAGAAATGGTTGCACCAAAAGCCTCAAGCAACAAGCCAAGACCGCAGAGGACGCCGGTACTTTTAGCTGTAATTAGTTTATTCATGGTGCATTTTCATTTATTGACTTCACAAATTGCTCCAAGCAAGGCTGCTTTAGATGATGTAGAGCTACAGCCACTTGCATGAACCATGAATAAATCAATTATAATTAAAAGTATGGACGTTTTCTGGAGCCTTGCTTGTTACTTGAGGCTCTTGGTGCAACAACGATTTTCGAAATAGGTGTATGTTTCAACTAGATCTGTTGCAGTTTTTAATTAACACCATATGTGAAAGCCTCAAATCTACTAAGATGAAATATAATTTAGTAGTATCAATATCACCACCAGCACTTACATTTAATATCATTTTGGTTCAAGATGTCCTCAGCCTTGACATCCACCTCCAGCTCAGAAATGCTCAATCTCTCTACTTCATTATCATGCACCAAATGGCTATAGAATGAAATAAGATAGGATATTTATAGCAGGAATTGCTGCCAGTGTGCTTCATAAAGTACAATGCCTTGTTACCTAGGAATATTCTCTTCAGACCAAAACACACTTTGAGTTTTATCACAGTTACTGAATGTAGAAGGAGACAAATCAGGAACATTTGAAGTATGGGAGATTTCTTCATCCCCTGAATCACAGAAAACAAGAAGAGAAAATGTGGTTTTACAAATGAAATGATGACATAGGTGTGTACAATGACACAAAAACTTATTAATAAATCTTTACACTCATGTTGTCTACACAATCCCTTTTTTTATCCACCTTTCACCCACCTTGGCTCCATCCATCCACCTTTAGTTAGTTCTTCCTAGTATGAAACTGACTGAGTTCTTTCATCTCATCCCTATGTACCAACCTTCATTCACTTCATCTCTGTGCTCCACATTCCTCCACCTTCTCTATCTATCAAACTGTCTAAGTTCTTCCATCTCATCCCTATGCACC